CTGGGCTTCCTTCCCCCACAAAAAGTGAGACCAAGAAGCCTGCAGGACCTGAGGGACTTGATCAACATCAATAAATGGGCTAGCTTCTTGAGGAACCCAGCCCAGCTCTGGCCTTTGTGTATGTGCCCCTCAGCCCGTCCTTCCACTAGCAAGTGATCTCAGTCCTATGAACAGCCCATTGCCCCAGCCTTGAGTCCCTCATGCTGGACCAGGGCTATTTCCTAGGATGTCACTGCCTCTCAGCCCTCCCAGAGTGGTTGGAGACCCCAAATGGCACCCCTGGGATGCCCCTCAAGGCTTGGGGATCAGGGGTGGTGTACTTGAGTGGGACAGGGGCTCTGTATCCTGGGATAGCAGCCTCTCTCCCTACAGAAGCCCAAGTGCGGGAAGGAAGATGCTAAGTAATGGTTGTGACAAAAGAGGCAAGTGAGGACAAATTCAAGCACAGAAGATGAGAGTGGGGCAAACATGGCCTTGGGGGACAGAACCAGGGACGACACTGACACCTCCCACCAGACCTGTTCTTGCAGCAGGAACAGAGATGGCCCAGACCTCTGGGTCCCAGCCTCAGTTTCCATAGGACCTGTTAGGCATTTCAGCAAGAATGAGGCTACAGCTCAACTGGGATCCAGTATGAGAAAAAAGACAAGAAAAGGACTATGAGACATGCAGATCCAGCCTTAGGGTTAGACATGAAGATGGTCAAAACCACCACCACCCACACCCAGGACCCAGAACTCTGTCTGCTCCAGACAGAGCCTGAGCCACCCCTCAACTCTCATAACAGGAGGCAAATCTCAGAGACAGCAGCAACTGGGGTGCATTTATTTCCTCCTGGGAGCAGAATACAAAGGCACTGGGGTGTGTGGGCCTGTTATAGCCAGGAGTTTGGCTGCCTGGGTGTTAACTGTGAACAGGTGTGCCAGGGTGCATAGGGACCAGAGTGATCCTCCCAGAACTTAGAGAATGGCCCTTGGGGATTGGAAGCAAGGTGAGTGTTGGGCTTGGCACAGATGCATTAGAAGGGTTATCGAGAGGGTGTGAGATGGGTGTGCCGGAGGGTGGGGTGACCCATGGGGCAAGGGTGTGTTAGAGTGTCTTAGAGCTAGGGGTAACTTGGGGCATGACATATTAGGACATGTTGGGCCCTGGCTGTTGACTGAGAAGCTAGGTGTCAATGATTGGAAGAACAGAAAGGCTGATGAATCAACAGGACCCATGAAGACATGACTGCAGACAGGATTGGCCCTGGGAGTGACCAAAGAGCCCAAGGTGACTCCTACAGCAAGGTGATGAGGGGAGAGGTCTGGTGTTCCCATTCAGGAGTACATAGTCAGCTGCAGCCACTGGGGAGAGGAAAGCACAGAGATTAAGGAGCAGGGACCCTGGGAACAGCAGACGCCCTTTCTCTGCCCTCACCCGGGGATTGTTGGGGAAATAGGAGGAAGGGAGCCCAATTCACAGCGGAGGGGAAGGGTCTCCTGCTAGGAGCCCACATCCCAGGATGAGAGTTCTTACCTCCTGGATGTTCACCTGAATTTGTCCAGTGCCATCTCTATCAAGAGATTTGAAGGCACCTACAGGAGAAGGGAAGGGTTGAGGTGATTGGCTTTTAGGATACAAATATACAAATATATGGGATGATGATATAATGACTAGTATTGAATACCTTATCTGGCCAAGCACTGCATAAAGTGCTTTCCGTGCGTTAACTCATTTAATCAAATTCTGTGAGATAAATGTTATTTGAAAGTTAAGCACAGAGAAGTGATGTGCTCCAGGTCATACAGTGAGAAAGTGAGGAAATTGGGATTGAAATCCAGGCCGTTACTCACCTCAATAATAGCCTCCATATAACCGATCTGTGTGCCCCACATCACTCTCTGCCGAAGTCCCAGCCTCCTACCAACTCCTAAGCCCCCCAGTTCCAGCTTAAACAGACTATCAGAAGGAGGCTCTCCAAGCTCCACTTCCTGAGCTACAGTCTGGCGTGGTTCCCACTCATGCCCTGAAACTCCATGTTCCTCACCCATAGCCAAACCTAAGCAAACAGGTGCCCACAATGCCTTTGCTTCCTCTTGTGTACTGCTCAGTTACCACCCTCAGGTGGCCACACACCTGCTGTCCAGACACTGCACTCACTGCAGTAACTACTGACTCTTGCTGATAAGGCCAATGGCTACTTCTCGGGCCTTCTCATGTGACTTTTGGCATCATCTGCCCTATTGTCCACTCCCATCTTCCCTTCACATCCCTGATATGCCTGTCCCTTTTCCTCTACCCATGCTCTTAATGCACTGTCCTCCCTGGACTCTTGGGAGTTCTTCCTAAAGCCCAACCTGATCCTGTCCTTCCCCTGCCTAGAATCTGCTGTGGCTTTCCAATGCCCCCAACAGTGTCCGAGCACCCGAAATTGGCATTCACAGCCCTGACCATGCCCGATGCTCCTACTTCCTTTCAGTCAACTCTCTCAGACAGGTCTGAGTTCAAATTTTGGCTCTGCAACTTCCTCACTGAGTGGCTGTGAGTAAGCAATTATGCCTCCTTTGAACCCTAGGTTCCTCTTCCATAAAATGAGGACAAAAATTCCCATCTGTGAGGGCAGGATTCAGTGCATTCGTGTTCAAGAGAGCCTTCATGATCCAGCCCCTCCCGACTCCTCCTCACAGCTTTGTCTCCCATCCCACCCCCTCTTCAGCACTCTGAACTGAGTCCTACAAAAAACAAAAGCACCACCTCTCTTTCCTTTCTAGGCCTTTGCACAGGCTGTTTCCACTGCAACACTCTTCCCCACTCTCTCAATGGGGTCACTCCTCACCCCACAGGTCTCAACTCACATGTGCCTTCTTCCAGGCTGCATCAGGTGTCTCTTAAGTTTGAAGCCGTTGCAGCTTCCCCAATTACAAATCTAAACTTGCTATGCCCTGAGCTTCCCCTCTGCCCCCATCACTCTGCCCTGAACATCCCCTATCCCAGCAGTAACCACTCTGAGCTGTCATTTTCTGACGATCTGCCTCTCCTCCATTAGACTGTGAGTGACACAAGGGCAGGATCTGAGGCTGTTTCGGTCACTGCTGTGCCCCTAACAATGCCCGCCTCAAGATTAGGTTCAAAGACCTTGGCCAATGGAGGTTGAACAAATAAAATCTCCACTTGGGAAGAAAGTTGTGATGACACTTACGGAACATGGCATCCAGCCTGACCAGGCAGCTGATGAAGTTGTCAAAATCCATGTTCCCTTCCTCATCTGCGTAGCGTCGGATGATCATGTTGTAGAGATGCTCATTTAGATGGAACCCTAACAATGGTTTAGTCTCTCAGGTGTGGGGGCCACACTGCCCAACTCACTCCCAGCCCCAGAGTGTAGGCTCAGACCAGCTCAGTGGGGGCTGCCTCACCAATCCGAACCTCAGCCCCACCAGCCATACCTGCTGCCTCAAAGGCCCCTGGAAGTTCACTACTACCAATGGTCCCTGAACAGTCAACGTCAAACTGTTTGTATATGGCCTGTGGGAACAGGGAGGTTGGGGTTCAACGAATGAGCATCTGGGGACACAGCATCTCCATGGCTTGGGAGTCTTCATGCTAGGAGTTTCAGAGGTCACCACACACCTGCCACTTTTTGATGTTGTTCCACAAATACTTGAATTCCTCGAAACCCAGCTTGCCTGTGGTGTCACTCTGGAGGAAGGGTGTTAAGAATAGTTGTGCCCAAATGCGTTCATCGCACACCCTGTGTACCTGACAATGATAGCAGCCAATCAGGGTAACCTGGGCGAAAACTCCAGCTCCCATCTCAGCCTAGTCATGTCACCTTGGGTGTGGCTTTATTTCTTATTGTATCCATATATATTTTACTTTATATTTCTAAATGGTAAGGAATCTGTTTAAACACAGCCATGTGGAAGTATAATGAACTTTTCCAAACTACAAATTCCTCACCTGAAAATAGTTGCTAATTCTTCATTTATAAAATTCTTAAATTCTAGATAGTAATTCAGTTTCCTAAATGTTAGGACATGTAAAAAAAAACAAAGGCTCTGAGGAAATGAGGTGACAGTAGTGGGTAAATGCTGGGTTTGTGATCAAAGAGTAATGAGATATGGGCATAAGGCCCTTAGGCTCAGGGGCTGGCACGTGATATATCCTCACTCAATAACAACAATGACCAAGACTTACCAGATTACATAGTACACATCAGACAGTGCTAAGCTTCTCAGGAACATCATTTTTCTCACTAAATCCTCAATACACCAGCCCCACCAGTATTATTCCCCAGTCACAAAAACAGAAACAAATTCAGAGCTGAAAAATCTATCTGCGTAAGATCACAGTAACAGCTAACACGTACAGACCATTTACTATGTGTTACGCATTGTGCTAAGCCTTTTGCATGTAGCTCTAATTCAGCATCACCATTATCGTTCACCCCAGGCAAACTTCAGGCAAACTTCAGGTAAACTGAAGCACAGAGAGGCTCAGTAACCTTGCTAAGCCAGAATTGTTTAAACCTATGCCACAAATGTATGTGATCATGTGATGTGAATATATGTATATGTCTGCACTGCCCTACGTGCTGAGTGTGCATGTATCCAAGATCAGCTAATAACTGGCCCATGTGCAAAGACATATGTGTTCCTGTTCATATGTCTTCACATATCTTCATGTATATAGGTGTACCCTTGTACACATATGCATGTATACATGCATGTGTGCACACCTAGGGCAGTTATAAGCTTGGGTTCTCAAGTCTCAAAGACCTAAGTCCAAATTCCTATCTTTTCACTTATTTAAGTTCAGACAAATGATTGCCTCTCTCTGAGTCTCAGTTTCTTTACCCACAAAATGGAATATAATAATTGTCTATGTCTAACAGGGTGGCTATGAAATAAATTTAAGTGCCAGCTATGAGAGCTATTATTATTGCCACATGTCCATTGGTGAGTGATATGTTCTACTGTATGCCTGTCCATATATATGGGTATGAAAGCTACATCCTGGCTCTCACTCATGCTCTCAGAAAATTCCCTCTTCACCCGAGGCCTCCTTCAGACTGCCCTCAAGGATACATCCATCACAGCCACCATGCTGCGACATGTGTCAATGCCAAAACCATCAGTCTTCAGGTCAGGGTCTGTGGGGGATAGGTTGACAGTCAGAGGCCAGAGGTCACAGCTACCCCAGCTGCCATGACTTTAAACCTTCCTTATGTGTTGACCCTGTCATCACTCACGCCGGGTCACGACCTTGTTGAGAATGTTCATGAGTTCTGTGGCGCTGACCTCCATGTCCTGCAGGGAGAAGTTAGGAGTGGATCAGGGGTGACTGGAAGGGGTCTGGGCATGTCATGAAGGAGGATGGGAACTTTGGGATTGCCATGGTTGAGTGTGTATATGCAAGGGCCACCCAAGGGAAGGCATGGAAGGGTTAGGACAGGTCTGGGGACTCCAGGTTACTTACATCTCCAGCCAGCTGGGTAAAGAGCCTCCGGAACTGCCGGACCTCCTCACTCTCATTGGCCTCGATATTGGAATAATGAGTGCGTGGGGGCTGCAGAAGGAGATCTAAGATCAGGTAGGGGAAGGAGTACTCTGGCCAGTACAGCCCTACGTGGGAAAGTCAGAGTGGGATGGGAGACTGAGTGATTACAGGAATGAGAGGTGGTGGTTGAATAGGGAGTGGGTAATAGCTAAGTTTGAGGACATGACAAGGGAGAGACTCAATGAAAAAGATTTCATAAGAGGGAGAGGAAGTAGGGCTTTTCCAAAGGGGGTGGGGCTGCTGAAAAAGGCCTCGGAGTGAGAAGAGAGGTCTCCGGTTGTGAAGGGCAGCTTACCGGGGGCTCTGGGTTGTACTGCGCAGCTGCCTCGCTGCAGGGAAACAAGGGAATTAGTGCCAGGGGTCGGGACCTCCAAAGGGCAGCGCCAATCCCAGTACCCCAACCACCCCAAACCCCAGCCTGCCCCTCTCCACCTGCCTTATCTGTCTTTGTCCTCACCTGTCCCTATCTTTCCTGCCCTGGTTACGAGGAAACTCACAGGACTGCCCCACAGTAGGCTTCACTGCTATCAATGGCAGACTCCTCAATAGACCCAGCCCCTTCCAGGGCTTACTTCATAAAAGTTCTGCCCCAGCTTCCCTGGGCCCCACTCTCCTCAGGTCCCATTGGTCTAGGGACTTACTCCATCACTAGGGCTTCCTAATGTTTGTGTCTTCATCCCACCCCAGCTCCATTAGTTCTCGCCCCTTCGAGGAATCACTGCTCAGTGGCCAAGACTAATTAGGCCCCTAATTAGGGAAATTAGACAACGTGCCCTACCTCCACCAGGACATTTTTCTATTTTAATCCAGCCAGTTCCTGGCCAGGCCGAGCCCCTTGAAGAACACTACTCCTATCCCAGTGGGCCTCAGCCTCTTCAGGGTGTACCTTCTCATTGACCCACCTAGGTCGGCGACGCCTTGCCCGTAAGGCAAGCCTTGCCCCATGAAGTGACACCCGGCCTCACTGGCTCCGCCCACTTAACGCTCGTTTCCAGGTTAGCGGACGCAGGCTGTGTCCAGCCCCAGTAAGCCCCACCTCCCAAAGCCCCGCCGGAACCCATCAGTCAGATAGCGGCTCCCCAACAGTCAGGTTACTTCCCAGTCGAGCCCCGCCCCCCCGAACTGCCGTCAGCCTCATTAGGGCCCACCCCCTCAAAGCCCGCCTCCCAGCCAGGCCGGGCCTAGCCTAATTTAAGGCTCCAGGTCAATGTCAAGTTTACCCCATTCTATTCTTGCTGGACCTCCTCCTCCAAGCCCCGCCCCCTCAGGCCCCGCCCTACCTGATGGCGCTAATGACCCCGCCCAGGATGCGCATGGCAGTTCCACCGCCACCATATATTTTTTAAAGAGTTTAACTGAAGTGAAAAGGTATTTAAATACTAAGATTGAAATCACATCAGAATCCTGAATGTGTAAATGCGTTCCACATACTTAGTATTGTTCATGCAAGAAATGTCCACATCCTCAGAGAATTTATATGAATGTATTTGAGCTAAACTGATGACAATTTCCAGAAAGCAAAATCTCAATTGATTGAGAAAATGTTCCAGAGAATGGCAGTTTGCAACTTATTTCATACTTTAGAATAAAAGGAGGAGACATAAGAAGGGGTACATGAAGTCTATCGGTAATAGATGAAGGGGGTGGGAGAAAGCAAAGCAGGGAAGTCTCTGGGATTGGATAAAAAGTAAAATGGAGAGACATACTTCTTTTAATTCACTAGTTGGTAAAGGATAGTTAAATTAACATTTACAATACATAGAGATGATATTTGGGGAACAACAGGGGTTCTATGGACCTGTGCTCTGGTATGGTTGGTGGGTGTGCCCTGAGGGGTCTGGAAAAGGAGATTACTCTGACATTTCAAAGATATGTTTCCTTAGATGCAAAAAGACAATTGACAGGCTCACTAAGGTAAAGACTGACCTTTGTCGAGAAAGCTATAGGCCTAAGACATGACTACCCGCCATGATCTGCTTTTAGTTAGGAATATTTATGTCCAGACCATCCTATGTAGTTCTTTTCGGTCTCTAAGTTTGTAGGGCCTGCCATGCTGACCTCCCCAACCTTGTTGAGTTTAGTATGTCATCCCTTTTTCGTCCACAGTATGTAACTGTTTATTGCATTGCCCTTTTTATTAATTAAGTTTTCAATATATTAGTGTCCACTGTTTCAGCTCTTACTAGGAACGCCCTTCAAGAACGAGTTAACCAGGAACATGGCTGCGACCCAAGATTCCTAAGGAGGAGAAAGGGGTCAGGTGGCCTCTTCACCCCGAGCCCGCCCCCTCTCCACAAATATACGCATTTCTGACAGCTGGACGGGGGGGAGTAATATGAGGCCTCCGGGCGGGGACCTATTCTCCGGCTGGAACTTGAAGAGTCCATTCGGGATGGGGTCTGGGAGAGGGCAGTTCTCGGGTGGGTGCGATAGGGACGAAGGATCAGATTGAAACCCCTTACGGATACAAAGGGTCCTCTTCAGACTTGAGGGACCCTGGATTGAGTCTACACATAGGCATGATTAAGGGTAGGGATCCAGGTCTGGTGGGGTTCTCGGGAGCCCCAAGTTGGTGTTAGGCATCCTGGACCTGTCTAGGCACTCGAATCTGAGCCCCAGAGCCCAAGAACTGGACCTTGGGTCTTGGGCGGGTCAGGGGCGCGGATCAGACCCTTGGCCTGGAGGACCCCGGGACAGGGTTTTGGCAATTCAGAACGTGAACTTGAAGGTTTAGGTACTCCCAACAGCGATATTACAGGGTTCACGCTGGGTCGGTGGGATCCGGTCTAAGATCGTGCGTGTAAGCCCCGGGGCCAGGATAACGGGGTTCCCCATTAGAATTAGAAGCATGGACCTAGGAACGTGCTTCTGGAGGCCCCACCCAGGCGGAATTTACAGGGTACCTCTCATATCCATGGGCTCGTATTTTAGATCCTGAGACGGAGGGAGGAGGAGTCTCCGGGGCGGGATAACGGGGCCCAGACAATCTAAGATTATGAGCCTAGGAGACCCCTGAAGCCGGGACTTTAGGGTCTCATTGGATCTGAGAGCGTAAGGGCCAGGATTATGGAGTATAGGGGGAGTCTAGTCCGGGCTCTCACCACCTCTCTCACACGTCCGCCGGTCCTGTAGTCTACGCTGCTGCCGGGCCTCTGGCTGCGTCCGGCTTGGTAGGGCGGGGCCCGTGACTCAGAGGGCTTTGACCGGGTTGGGCTTTGCGGGGCTGCCCAGGCGGAGTCTGCGCGGTCCTAGAGCCGTCTCTAATATAGGGCGTGCGCACGCAGGCCCCTTCTTGCTAACCGGATGCGGCAGCAGTCAGGGTTTAGGCCAGCATGCTTCCGGCGCCGGGGGCTGTAGCCCCGCCCTGACTTCGTAGGGTTGAGGTCCTCCCTACACCTCCAGTCCCAGTGAAGACACCCGAGGACAAGAATTCCAAGGTGACCCCGCAGGTTATAGTGTGAATTTTCGCCCCGAACCCATCCTCTACCAGGCTACGGATGCGGTTTTCATTCTGCTCGAAACGGGGCTCTTCGCACTCGGCCCCTATCCTGGCCTTGTCAAGACAGACAGCATCTGAAGACCCCGACTTTTCTTGGCTCACAGTCCAGGGACAAAACCCCGCAATCTAGCAGGGACTAAGGCTAGACTAGATTTCTCGGTTCTTGCAGCAGCCAGGATGGCGGTCAAACTGCAGCTAGGACCGCTACCTACGAAAGCCGCCTTGTGCCTCCTCCGCCCGTATTCCTTTACCCGCTGAGTCAAGGTCACCAGAATAATTTTTCCTGGACAGGCCTAGAGTGTCACCTCAGTCTCTAAAGAGGGGCCCAGACTCAGGAAGAGTCCACAGGCCAAGGCGTGGTTTCTGAGGCCAGTAGTTCACGAGGTCAGGTGGTGGGTGGGGAATGCAGAAACTGAAAGGGAAAATTGCCATTCAGGCCTCTTTTGCAGGCTTTTCCCTTGCTCTCTGGTTCCAACCTCTATCCAGTTGTCACCTAGTACCTTTTCAGGGCTCCTCAGAAGGGGCTAAGTCTAGCTTCCAGGTAATACGTCTTTCTGGCCCTTAGCCTTTCTCCCTCGGAGGCTGGTTAGGCTTGAGTTTGAATCCCGGATCTGCCCCTTAATAACTGGGATCTCACAATAATTACTTGAAGTCTCTGAGCCACCATCTTCTAATCTGTAAAATGGGAACAAGGGTTACCATGACCTCTACACTAGGTCCCTATCATAATTAAGTGATTAAAGCTTAGTAAATAGTAGCTATTATCCTGTGTCTCTACCCATGCTGTTCCCTTCTGGAGGCCCCCTGGATTCCTCAGGTAGTTGACTCTTGCTCATCTTTAGATAATACTGATAAAAATAACTGCCAAGCACTTTCCTAAACACTTTACATATATCAGCTCATGTGTCCTCATAATAGTCTTATGGGATAGATGCTGCTTATTATCTCCATTTTACAAATAAGTAAACTGACTTTGAGATTACGCTTCTTAGCTTGTACTCTTAGCCACTACCCTAATACATTGATTCTTCAATAATACAATTAATATGAAAATAGCTCAAATAACAAGATCAAAATAGACAAAGCCACAGTCACAGCTAATGCTTCCTGGGCTTGCTGGGGCCAGGCCATGGAACTGCTATATAAGCCTTGTCTATGGGGCAAGAACTAACAGGAGAGAAAATGGAGGCTCTGAAGGCAGAGTCACTTGCCAGAGGTCACAGAGGGTGTCAGGACCAGGTCTGAACCTGGGCTCCGCTGATGCCCAAACTTGGTGATGGCTAATCTGGATTCCCTTCTCACCATACCCGTCCCCGCCAGATTGAGCAGCTTCTGTTCTCTGCCCTTTCCAGGGCTCTCGCTGCCAGGCCTTCACATGGGCTGTGCCCTCTACCTGGAACAAACTTTCCCCCTTTTTTGCCTGGTTTTGTAGCTACTCAGGCTTTGAGTGTCAGCTCAGATGTCACCTTTTCTGGGAAGCCTTCCCTGTCTCTACCCCCATCTGAGTAGGGGTGGCTTTCAGTTACATACTTATAACTTGTACTTTCTCATCACACTGCCAATTATAATCATTATCATCCAGGTCTGTCTCCCTGTCCTCTTAACCGTGGCCAACTCCAAGTCTTAGGCCTTGGTCCACTTCTCTAACCCACTCATGCCATAGGGCAGCAGTCCCCAACCTTTTTGGCACCAGGAGCCAGTGCTCCTATGGGAATATAATGCCTGATGATCTGAGATGGAGCTGAGGCTGTAACGCTAGCGCTGGGGAGCCGCTGCAAATACAGAGAAAGCTTCACTTACACACCCATTGCTCATCTCCTGCTGTGCGGCCCAGTTCCTAACAGGCCACAGACCTGTACTGGTCCACAGTCCCCAGGGATCTCCCTTATATGTATGGCTTAAATTCCATCTCTAGGCTATTAACACCCAAATTTCTCTCTTCAGCCCAGATATCTCCAGGCTCCTACATCCTGCATCCTACTCACCATCCATATAGGGATCTTAGCAGTGCCTCAAGCTTCACAGATCCTAAACTGAGCTCCTGACCTTCCTCCCAAATGAGCTCCCTCCCCACTTTCCCCATCTAGGTTAATGGCAATTCTCTTCTTCCAGTGACAGACAGAACACCCCAGGGTTGTCCTTGACCTCTCTTTCACCCCCACTCCAACCTATTAGCATACTTCTTTAACCTACCTACAGAATCTAAACTCTTCTCTACCTCCACTGCCTTACCACCCACCCCCCAGCTTTCATCCCTCTCCCTCCTGGACCTCACAGGCACTCCTCCCTGGTCTCCTGCTCCAACCAGCCCGCATAGTCAGCTCTCATGCAACCAGAGGGAGCCTGTGAAACCTCAGTCAGGTCAGGGCCCTCTGGGCTCAGAGGCCTTCCTAGACTGTACTTCATTCCAGATAAGAGTCAGCGTCACCACCAGCACCAAGTCCCTAGTGCTCTGTCCTGTTACCTCTCTGCCCTCATCTCAAGAAAGTGAAAAGAAGCTCTACTTGCAGCTTGACCTGGATGTTCCTAACTGAATGTGGAGAAGGCACAGAGGTGGAGGCTCTGCAAGTGTAGCAATGGCAAAACAGCTCCTCTCCCGCACACTTGAGGGCCACTATTCCATTACCAAGGCCCTCTCTAGCCCCACCTCAGTGCCTCACCCCTTAGTGCTTCAAGTCTATACATCTAATGACCTCAGGGAGGTCCTCTCAGATCTCTAATTTAACCCCCACATTCCCTATCCCACCCCTAAACTACTCTTAGCATTTATCACCTGCTAAAATACTGAATAGTTTACTTTCTACCTAGTTTCTTGTCTCTCTTCCCCA